TGAACATGTTACTGTTAGAGCTCCAAGATCACTCAACTTCTCTCCACTAATTGAGGCTAGATTGTGAGAGTCTTCACCCTTTTTTCTCCAAGAATCTCGTGTATCCTTATTTCTCCATTGACTCTCACAATTGTTGGTAGTGCCAAGCTGTGATAGGTTGTTAATATATATTAATCAAAAGAGTATGAATATATTCATGTTTCATTACCAATGTGAAGAGGATTATAATTTTAAAAAATTTGGTGATGAAGATAAAAGAAGAGGAAATAAATTTTTCTGTTTTTATATATTTATAAAATATAAAAAAATATCATCACATTTTTTAATGTTAAAATAAATTATTATTATTTTCTAAGGTCTTTGAACTTTTATATTTTGAATAAGTTTAATTTTATTTTTATCAATTTGGTTAAGACCAAGAGGACAAAATAAACTTTACATTGAAAAGCCTTTGTTTCAAACCTTCACCATCACTAATATATTAAATTCTAACAATACAACAACAAAAATAATACCACGTTTACAACCTAATTCCACAATATTTTCTTACAACCTTAACATAGCAACAGAGTTGACACTATCACATCAACTGACAACTTTGATTAAACATGAACGGCTATTCCTTATAGATGAACGATCATTTTTAAAATAGCTATTTCATTTACAAGGTTCAAATATTCCTTATGAAGGGATGATCATTCATTCATAAAGAATTGATTCGTTCATTCATAAGGAAATTCCTTATGAAAGGACAACTATTCCTTGAAGGAATGAATGTTCCTAATGAAAGAAAAATCATTCATTCTATTCCTTATTAATGAACGATCATTCCTTCATAAGAAACATCAATTTCTTATGAAAGAACGATCATCCGTCCCCAAGAAAAGACCATTCGTGTCTAGTCAAAGTTATTTAGTGTTTGGTTATGGTGAGAGTTGACGTGATAATTACCAACTTAACTGTCATATTGAGATTGTAAGAATGGGCTGTGGGTGTAGTATTACTAAAAAAAAAAAAAAAAAAAAAAAGTAATGGAAATTCACTTTCAGAATTTACTGGACTAAAATAACAGTTGTATCCAAACTTAGAGACCCAATATACCGTACTGGCACGTTAGGTTATAACTACTTCTAACTTCTAAGAGAAAAAGGCGTAGCGTTGACTGCTGACTGTTCGTTACAAGGAATCGTCTACACAGTAGACATCGTAGTCCTCAACACACAGGAAACACAACCCCTTGCTTCCAATAAATTCCCGCCACGTCAGCCTCAAAACTCACTAATACCTCTACCTTGCATTCACCCTGTCCTGTTTTTCCCAAAATAAAATCGATGCCTAGCTGTCTCTCAAAAGTGCCAGACTGGCAACCGTTAGAATCCAACATGAAAATCTGCTGGCCTGATTCTCTTATTCCATTTAAAATCAACGGTCCAGATCCCCCCACCTCTGATACTGCTATAAACATCGAATCACTTTTCCTCACCTCTCCCAAAGGCCAAAACTCCTCTCCTATCACTTCACCACTTTCAAAAAAGAATCCAATCACAGAAAACTGTCTTCTGTGACACTGGTTGTCCGTGTTGCGGAAGCTTGACGGCGGTTGCATCGCCGTTAAAGATAAAGAAACTCTGGCATTTGGATTCAGATCCGGCCCGCATTGTACTCGGTTTGTCCATTTTGTGTGTGTTTTTTATTTACTATAGATCCATATTTTGAATCGTTTCGGATTTCTTGTTTGAACGCGTTTCTTTTTAACTGCATTGTCTATTTTTCTGTTTCGTTGGAGTGTTATGCTGTTTGGATTCCGAGAAAATATTATGAAGATTTCGTTGTTGCGTGATTGAAGTTTTAAATTAGGCGGAATTGAGCTGTAACAGATGGCGATAAACTCTTGACATTGTATTAGGCTAAGATATTTTAGTGTAATTTAGTCATTTTGTGTTTGAAGACAAAGGTTGTGAAATTAAATGTTCCTTATTGTTGAAGAGTCAATGTTAAGTATTGTGTCGCTAGGACTTTTAGTTTTGATTCACTGGGGCCAGGGATCCATGAGAATTAGTTAAAAGGCTGAAAGGATATCTTTTTGGAGAGTCATTGTTTGATGGTATGCGTTGTTTGCAAGGAAGGTCTATCTTATTTAAAAAGGCAAAAGAGTGAACATTAAGACATTCAATTTGAATCAGAACTTAAATTTACGAGTAGTTAGTAATGTTTCCCAGGACATTTTTCCAAACATGGAAAAGTAAGGTTTCATTGGATGTTATGGAAAAGTAAGGTTTCATTGGATGTTATGCTATTGGTAATTTTCTTTATTGGGCGATTTATGTTTTGATTTTGCTTTTTTTTTTTTTTTTTTACATAATCATTTGTGTTTTCTATGTGTAATTTCAGTGTGTATAGTAAGTTGCCAAGATGGTCGCCCAGGAATTCACTGTTGATTTGAACAAGGCTCTTGTCTTCCAGGTAGATTTGAATTGCCTGTTTTTTTTCCTTGTAAATCACATGTTCTTAATAGCACTTGTTTGAGCCAATTATCTATGACTAATCATAATTTACCTTGTGCTGTTGACATTTTAATGACTGATGATATTTATAAAGAACATATCATATAATCATTTAACTTTTAGCGGAAACAACTCTTCTTTGATGGTAGATAATCATCTTATTGTTCGTATTGACCACTAGGTATGTGTGTGCAAACACATGTACACATAAGAGCATTAATTGTCTGAGATCATATTGAATATAAGGACCTAACAGGCGTTCTACTTTCATGTGGTAGTGGTTCTGTGTATCACCTATTTATTGCAAAAGGAATGATAGAGACACTGAGGATCTTTGTTCAAGGAGGGATTAAGTTACTCTTGTAATTTTTTTTCTCAATTTTTCATCATTATGTCAACTACTCAACAAGCCAAGTTCCAAACGATCTATTTAATTTTACCGATTACTCACATGCAATTTGTTAGGATCCTACATTTGAAGGGAAAAGAGTGGGCATGTGGATTATAAAGGGCTGGGGCACCCTCCCTTGGCAAGCCGGTTTTCCAGGGAGAGTTATACCCAAGCCCATGAAAGACCCATGGCCCAGCCCAATTATTGAGTTATTGGATTGGGTTCCTATCAATTGGTATTAAAGCATGATCCTGTGTTCACAGGATGTCGCCTACGTGGTAGGCGTGGCAGGCTGACCTTGGGCCCAGGTTGCTACCCTAAGAAAGGGCATAGAGGCCCAAGGGAAAAGGGATCCGCATAGTCATCCAAGGGGTAAAGAGGCCGGTGTGAACGTCAGTTGTGGAAGCGTGGTGGAATGTCAGGATCCCACATTTGAAGGGAAAAGAGTGGGCATGTGGGTTATAAAGGGCTTGGACACCTTCCCTTGGCAAGCCCGTTTTCAAAAGAGAGTTTTATCCAAGCCCATGAAAGACCCATCACCCAGCCCAATTATTGAGTTATTGGAGTGGGTTCTTATCACAATTCAAGCAAGTCTAGAAAAAGAAAGAACTGTTTTTGAAAAGTTTAGTTACACTTCGACTTATAGTATATCCATTTATCTATATGTTATTAACTTTTTCTGGTATGCTAAGTTCACTTCGTTGGTATTACGCCTTGTTGAAGTACTGATTTTTAACTTTACGAGAGCGTATTACAGGTTGGTCATCTTGGAGAAGCATATGAGGAATGGGTTCACCAGCCAATTCCAACCAGGGAAGGCCCTCGATTTTTTGAAAGTGACTTTTGGGAGGTATGGCCTCTTTCTTTATACACAGCATTTTCCTAGTTATGTTCATGCACTCATTTATACTATTTGATATAATAATTCCTCTTCTGAAATGACATATCTCATTTTTACTTGAAACAGTTCTTGACTCGCACTGTCTGGTGGGCAATTCCAGTCATTTGGCTGCCAGTTGTTTTCTACTGCATCTCCTTGTCTGTAAGAATGGGCCATACATTTCTAGAGATAGCAGAAATGGTGGTTTTTGGCATTTTTGTTTGGACGTTGATGGAATACACTTTGCACCGTTTCCTTTTCCACATCAAAACAAAGAGCTATTGGTTTGTTTTTGCCCTAATTCTCTCCCTTTCTGTGCCTTACATACACAAACATATAGGTGCACTAATGCAATTTTTTTTTTTTTTTTGACTTACAATTAGAGCATGCATGCTCTGTTTGTGCTTTAGCCAATGCCCTAACTTTGTTAAGAACTTGCAGGGGTAATACTTTTCATTATCTTATTCATGGTTGCCACCATAAGCATCCTATGGATGGCCTACGGCTTGTTTTCCCTCCTGCTGCAACAGCTGTTCTATGTATACCGGTATGTATTTTTCTCCTTCTTTCATCATAGTAATTATTTTACTTTCCTTGTTTCACATTTATCTATATGAGAAAATGCTTAACTTGATGTAATCATTATTTCCTTGCAAACTCTATGTGTATATAGCTCTGAACATCTTTGGCAGGTGTGAGTCAATGATGTACTTATAGAAGACATGACATTTATTAATTTTACCATAATTAATGCCATTTTTAAACGGTACAGTTGGTCATTGACTAATTTTATTCAACTGTAATTGGGGACTGGCAGTGAATGTTATTTGCAGTGCCTGATTGTAGACTGAAAATTTTTATTGTTGTTTTGTGACTGTTCTTCGCTTGACTTGGATGACCGTTTGTTTCCAGATAATGTTGTTTGTTCCATGCATGGCACTACCATAATGGATTCCATTAAGCACTCCCAAGTGCAACATCTATAAGTTGTTAAATGGTTCTTTCAGTATTTTGGTCGAAACAAACCTTAGCAAATGAATGCAACCAATAGGCATTATGTCAAACTATGTTAAAGGCTGTAACTCTTATAATAAAAGTATACTAAATTTTTCAAGGGTTCTCTTTGTATGCTAAGAGTACGTATTAAGACTATTAAAATGGTAAGTAATAAATATTATTTAACCATTGAAAAGGGCTTTCTTAACAAAGCCCTGTGAATACATGTTAAGACTTGGTGACAAATATTCTTTTACTACTTGAAGAATTCAATTCAATCTCTAAACCAAAATATGTTTCTAGTAAATCATATGATCCTTCAAGATTTAAATTGATCTTTATATAAAGCAGTTACATTTATGATTTGCCATTTTTAGTATTCTTAACATGAAATTAACCCCATAATATAAATCTGTGTTTGAAGTTCCAAATAATTGGAAGTAACTCTTTGTACGTATATTAATGGAAGATGTATGTTTATTGCTTATTGCCCTTTCATTTCCTACTCTTGCCAGTTATGGAATTTTATAAAGCTTCTAGCAACTCCATCAACAACTCCGGCTTTGTTTGGAGGTGGTTTACTTGGCTATGTGATGTATGATTGTACCCATTACTACCTGCATCATGGTCAGCCCTCAAGTGGAGTACCTAAACACCTCAAGGTAAGAATGGTGCATATTTTGTAATTGCAAAAGATATATCATTACCTCTTGCTCATTTTAGTTTAAAATTGCTCAAAATGAAATTAAAAAAGTTTATAGTTTTACGATATTATTGAAATCCATCCCTTGGTTCAAAACCTTGTTAATTTCCATTACTTAACGCGGGGTTCACATTTCAGTTAGTGTCCGTAAATGATCTTTTCTTTTTTTTGGATGGCACCAAGTGTTTATCTTGCTTGTGTTTTGCAGAAATATCACTTGAATCATCACTTCAGAATCCAAGATAAGGGATTTGGAATCACATCATCGCTATGGGATCGAGTGTTCGGAACACTTCCTCAGAGGAAATCAGCCTCGAAGAAGAAATAGATTGAAGAAGATTCATTATTATATTGTTGGCTTATAACATATTTCCAAACATTCTTTCTTCTGCTATTAATTTATTCTAAAGTGAGTAGTCTAGTCCATTGCTTCCAAGGTCAAGGGTGGTGTCAATTTTGTGGTGTAGTTCTATATAAATCATAAGTTATGTATAAATGAAATTGCTATTTTCTTGTTATTTTCTATTTATGAAAGAAAATTCCTTAACTTTAATAGAGAGGGAGCTGTCTGGAAATTATTATGTTAACTATTTAAACTTTATTTTTTATTATTTTCTTAGTTACTGTAAATATAAAACTTCTTGTGACCTAGTTCTATCTTTTTTTTTAATTGCCAATAATACTGTATGTATAACGAAAGCTCATAAAATCTAGAATTAAATTAGAAATAAGAAAAGAGTGTTTTCTATTTCTTTTCAATCCTATTCCATCCATCACATAAATGGATTCAATCAAAACGCTAACTTATGGATTATATTCAAAAACTACACAAAAAATAATAGTCAAAAGTGATGCATCCAATCACTCAAACAATAATGCCATATGGATGAGTAATCTTATGTGGTAGTGAAATGTAAATGAAGTAGTAATTTGATGCAATGTTTTAAAACTCGGGCCAGTTGGTTTAACTGGGACCCGAAAGTTTCACTATGTTGAACTTACATTTTTCCTATATACCAAAAACTCTAGAATTTGGGATAACAGACTGGCGAATATGTTGAACTTACATTTTTCCTATATACCAAAAACTCTAGAATTTGGGATAACAGACTGACGAATAATTGAAGGTCAGAGTGTTAGGACTTTTAAAGAGAAGATGTCGGTGAGTGTAATGGTGGCGAAGGAATTGATTTATGGTGAGTAAATCAATTGGAAATTGAAAAAAATTGGCAACGGCAACAATAAGCTTTTGCTAGTGATTGACGAGGCTAACGGGTGTGGGGTGAGATGGGTTTTGGTTGGGAGGAAGGAGTATTTTTAGGGTGATGGGGAGGGTTGTCAACATTGGCGTTGGTGAGATCCGGCCTAAAATGTCAACACCGATGTCGATAAGATCTTGCCAAAATCAAACCAATTTTGGCCATATTTTGGGTAGATTTTCAGGGGTTTGGGATCAAAGGATGATTAGGGTTGCATTTGGGGTGTTGCCGATCGATTTGTATTTGGGATGTGTTTGCTAAATTTCAAACATATAAGGATTTAACGTAATTTTCATGGGTGTACTTAATATTTTACAAGTTTTTATCACTCGGTCAAACCGGTTAAATTGGTCAACCTGGGACCTGGCAACTATGCTAGGTTTCACCCTAGGTTGGTTTTTAAAACATTAATTTAATAAATGAATGATACAACAATGCGAATAAGACATCACATTAAGTAATGAAATTTTTAAGATAGTTATTGGAGATTACTCATTACTTAAAAACATAGGTCAATTACTTTAGAGTAAACCACTTTTTCCCATCCATAGACTTTTAAAATGTCACTTTACTACCCAACTTTATATTTTATTAGGGTTTGCACAACTACCTCTCCCAAGTTAAATTTTGGTTAATCCTAATCACCAAAATTCAATCTTTCATCATTAAAAGACTCATTGTAGTCTGGACTGATTTTGCTCTCTATTCATCACTAGAATATAAATTTGAATAATAAAATAATATTTTAAAAATTTGTGAATGAAAAAGTGTCATTAAGTGTTATTTGAGTGGGAAAAAGTCGTTAACTCATGATTGGATTAGTTATTAGTTTGAACTAGACCAGGCAACGAGTGGGCTGGGCGGGTACATACAGGGCTGTTACGGGTAAAAAAATTTCACGATTGAAAAATGTATGACTCGTCGACCCGCGGGTCACTCGCAAAAACAGAATCATATGGAAGGAAGACAATCTGTAGGTTTTATATTTGCGTGAAAGGTCCGTCGTTAAGTCAAAGAGCCTGTAATAATGGAGTACTTGCTTCAGGGGAGAGGTGGCGATTGGGTGATGTTTTTTAGTCTTTTGAGGCGAGTTTTTGGCATGGAATCTGAGGAAGAAGATGGCAGAGATTAGTGCTGAAGTTGCCGTTGTGAGAGGGATGAAGTAGGAGGAAAACTCATTTATGACCACGAAAGCCTTATATTAAATAGTAATATTAACCCCACTCCAAGAAATACTTATTACTAAAATTTATGACCTCGTGCCAAGAGTTGATGAAGAATGTTTATCATTTACAAGTTAAATTGAGAGTTGAAGAAAGAGAGAGAGATTAAGACTTGCTTCGTGAGAGAGAAGGCGAGTTGAGCGTGAGAGAGATGGAGAGCTGCGTGAGAGAGACGGAGAGTTGAGCGTGAGAGAAATGGAGAGTTCCGGGAGACAGATTGAGAGCAGAGCGTGAGAGAGATTGAGAGCTGCTGGTCCTGGGCGCTACCGACTGCAGGAGTGAGAAATGGCTTAGGGTTTTTTTGGGTTTAGGTTAAAGTACGGGTACCCTGGATTACCTGGCCCACCTGCAGTTTTCACGGGCGAGCCGGGCACAGGTAATTTTGAAACGGGTAATATTAAGGGTTATCTATACCCGCCCGTTAGATACGAATACCCGTTTACTTGCGGGTACGGCCCTCTTTTAACTAGTCTAGTTTGAACAGATTGTAAAGCCGGAAATGGATTTTAACAATCGGTCAATTATTTTTAATCTTTTATTGTTTAAATCATACAATATTTTTAAATAATTCAATATTTGCCAAATACTTTTATAAAATTATTTACTTACCCTTACACCCTGTTAAATCTAATATTGAGTAACTGCTAACTACTGATTAATAATTTATACTTTTTCAATAATTTTTTTTAACAAATTATACTTAAATTGATAATATCCAACATAATATTTCAATGCTTTATCAAACTCTCTTCATTCGCCACAAATCAAATTGGACCAACACTATGCTTATCAAGAAAACATAAAATCTAATTTGGGGATTTCATAATAGAGTAAACCACCTTTCCTCCACCCAAATAGTGACTTAATGACATTTTTATACTCATAAACTTTTAAAATACCATTTTACTACTCAAATTTATATTCAATTTCTGATTTCGGCATTATTATAATCCCACCCCACCATCATTTTCTTTCCCTGATTATCACTCACCAAAACCACTCAAACCCTACTCTGGTTGACCTAGTCAATCGCCGATAATTGAGCGATTAGGGTTTTATAGCCGCTCCTCCCAACTCAGATTCTGATCAATCCCAACCACCAAAATCTAAACTTTTATCATCAAAAGACTTATCGGCCTCCCTTCTTCAAAAGCCCTAACAATCTGTATCGAGTTTGTTCTTTGTTTGCCGTCAGAATATAAATTTTGGTAGTAAAGTGGTATTGTAAAAGTATATGAGTGGAAAAGTATTATTAAGTCATTATTTGGGTGGGAAAAGGTCATTAACTCTTTCAAAATATGAAATTGATTGGGAAATTGGGATTGATTTTTAGGGCCTATTCGTCTACATTTTTCTGTTTTATTTTCATTTTTCTAACATAAAAATGAGGAAAATAAGCATTTTATTTACTATTCTTGTTGTTATACCTGGGAAAATAGGGCTGACGTGGCGCCCGGTTAAGTGCGAAAGGTCAGACCTCGGGAAGAGTCCGCTGACATTCTGGAGCAGCCGCGTCACGTAATGATGCAAGCAGCACACTCCTGTCGGTACAGTGGGTGCGCGCCAGACTGAAGAAAGGCTAAAGGACGTCCACGTGTCCAATCCTTGCAGCAAATCGCGTGAATTACTCTAGAAGGTGGGCAATGTGACATAAAGAAGGATTTGCACGGATAATCCCACCAACTCATAGATTCAGTAATGATAACCTTAATCTATCCTACTATAAATTGGGAGCTCTCATCTCATTTGAGGGATTAGCTGCTCTCTCTCTAGGATTTACAACATTTCATACCTTGTATTATCATTTTAAAGTCAGTCCGCTGAAGCGACCTGAACTTTATCGTTAATACAAACATCAGTGGACGTAGGACTTGCTTCCTTAACATGCGAACCACTTTAAAACTCCTTTCTTACTGCATTTGCTCTCGATTCTCTTGCTTTCACGTGTGTTTTTTGGGCCAGCTCAGCATCTCACACGTGCGTTTCGTCGGTGTCAAAATCACGCATCAACACTTGTATTTCAGATTTGAACATAAGAGTGAATATAATAGAAGATGTGGGCTCCTTTATATACAAATTTTATTCCTCTTTTTATATTTTCTCTTCACTTTAATATATATATATATATATATTTTTTTTTTTATTCAAATCAATTATCTAACATAAAAGTGCAAACGGAAACTAACAATTGACATATTTGAAATAAAATCTTTGAAACGAATAAATATAAGTAGTGATTTTATATGGTTTTAATGGTTGTGTATGTGATAAATTTCGTATATTTTATTTCTTTCTTGGTAATTGTTAGAGTCCCACACTGACTAGGCACGCTCAAGCCTTCTGATTTATAAGAGGGGGTAATTTTCCCATTCAACAAGGCCTTATTGGGTGAGGAGTCAGACCCACCTAAAATTCTATTATGGTATCAGAGCCCATGTTTAGTTGAGTTGAGTGTTTGACTAGTGGATGAGGAGTTAAAGCCCAGCAACTACCTCCATCAATAGACATGACCCAACATATGGGCTTGACCATGAGAGGGAGTGTTGGAGTCCCACACCGACTAGGCACACTCAAGCCTACTGGTTTATAAGAGGGGGTAAGCCTCCCATTCAACAAGACCTTATTGGGTGAGGAGTCAGGCCCACCATAAATTCTATCATGGTTTCAGAGCCCAGGTTTAGTTGAGTTGAGTGTTTGACTAACAGGTGAGAAGTTAGAGCCAACAACTACCTCCATTAATAGATATGACCCAACATATGGGCTTGATCATGAGGGAGAGTGTTGGAGTCCCATACCAATTAGACACGCTCAAGCATTCTAATTTATAAGAGGGGATAATCCTCCCATTCAACAAGGTCTTATTGGGCGAGAAGTCAGACCCACCTCAAATTCTATCAGTAATAAATTTCGTATTTTTTATTTTTTTCTTTATGTTTTCAGATAATATGTTGAATATATTTTTATTTTTCATGTTTTCAAATACTATTTTTAGATAAATATATCAAACGCATTTTAGTTTTCACATTTTCTGACTAACTAAAAAACAGAAAACAAAAACATCCAATTTATAA